TTAATTTATTTATTTTATTTGATTTATTTAATTTATTTAATTTATTTAATTTATTTAATTTATTTAATTTATTTAATTTATAATTAGAATTTTTAATAATATAAATAAATATATTAAATATATTATTATAAAGGAAAACTAATTTAATATTTTTTATTTATTTATAAATAAAATAAAATAAAAATAAATTTAAACTTTTTTTTAATTTTAAAACACAAAATCACGTATTTTTTTATCTTTTTTTTTCACCTCGGCTTTATATACGAAATCGAAGCATTTGCATTTCGAATTCATGCTTTTTTTATTCTATTCGTATTTATTATATAGCTTTATAATTTTTTCGTTTTATATTACGGCGAATTTGCTTAATTTATATAATTTATAATTAAATAGCCGCATTTTATGCTATAGCGTTTCGTATATATTGGTTTTTTTTTTGCTTAGCGCGCTAAAAATAAACGCTTTAACGGCTTATTTATAATTAATATTTAGCGTAATAATTATAAAATAATTAAGGCTTCCGATTTATAAGCTTCGATTTAATCGAAATAATAATAAAAAACGCTAAAAGCTAGAACGTTTTTTAGACGCATTTTTTGCGCGTGGCGTTTTTATGCCGCTTAAAATAAAGCTCGACTATAACCGAATTTTATTATTATCCTTATTAAAATCGCTATTATTACGTTTTTATTATTAGCGTAACTCCTCGGCTTTTTTATTTCGTTTTAAGGCTATATATTATTAATAAATATTTTATTAAAGGAGGCTTATAATTTACTTTATATTTGCAAATTACGGAGAAACCGACCGCCTATCGACGTATTACGGTATAAGCTTAATATATTAGTTTTACGGGCTATTACGTTTTAATTAAAAAGCTTTTAATTATAATCGCGATATTTATATTAAAGATAATTAGTCGCTAAATTATTAAATATAATCGATTTAGTATTAATTTTAATTTAAATATTAATATACTTTTTAATAGCTTAAAATAAAGTTATATAACGATTTATTTACTAATATAAAGTTTTATATAATATTTCGATAATATTATTATTATTAGGCATTATATCCTAATGCTTGCGTAAAATTAAAAAAGCTCTACAATAAAATTTTATTTATATAATCGGCCGAGCTTTATAATAAGCTTATCGTGCTAATTCGGGCTTATATATTTCGATTAAATTATAAAGCTTAAGGTATTAAGCCTCGGTTTCGCAAATTAAAAGTTTGCTTATACGGGAATATCGAAAATAAGGACGGCGATTACTATTATAATATTTATTAAAACCCTTAGTAAAATAAATATAGCAAAAGCAAATATAACGCATTACGTATTATATTTAATTACGATATTTTAGGTTTACGTATAATAATAAATAATAGCCTAAGCCTATATATATTATATATTAATTTAAATTAATATTAAATCGATTAAATTAGGAATATAAGCCTATTTTTAATATTTTTTAAATTTTAATTAATTATAATATTATATAATTTTTTACCGTAAATATAATGCTATTTTACCTTAATTTAATATTTATTTTTTAAAATTCCGAATATAACTTTATATATATAAGCGTATATTTCCGTTAATTCAGAATTAATAAAGCAACGGGCTAATAGGATTATTATTTAAAATAATTAAAATTATTAAATTTAAATTAAATAAAAATATACCTTTTTTAAAATTTATATTATATTATTTAAAAATAACTTTTATTTTTTTTAGGCGTTAAAGATATTTATAATTTATATTAATTATAAAGGATTTAAAATAAAATTAGCGTTATTATTTAGCTTATTTTTAATAAAAGCATATTATTATTTAATTTAAACTAAAATCCTATATATATTAGATATATTATTAAAAATTAATATAAATTATAAATATATTAAAATATAAATAAATATTTACTAAAAAAGCCTGGCTACGCTTAAGCATATATTTATATTAAACTACAAGCCGCCCGGTTTTTTTTAAAAAACGAAAAAATTTATTATTTACGAATAATATAACGTAAATAATCGTTATTTATAAGATTTTGATACACGTTAAATATAATGCGGCTATTATATTATTAAAATATATTTTGTAATTTCTAAGACCTTAAAAAGCCATTTAAATCGAATTAATATCAATTCTATTAATTATTATATTTTAAACGTATTTAATATAAATTTAATATTATTTATATTTTAAATAATTCGAATAATATTATTTAGCAAATAAAGCGGGATTTAAGTTAGCGAAGGTAATAGATAATCGTAGATTTTTTTAAATATAATAATTATTTATAATATAATATCGAATTGCTTTAAAATAATAAATATAAATATTATATTATAATTTACGCGTAAAATTAAAATATTCCGTCAATAATACGTTTTAGTTATAATTTATTAATTTTAAATATATATTATATTTTTTTTATTTATTATAAATTTAGGCTTTGCTTTTTATATTAAAAAATATATAGTATTCGTTTAGGTTAACTTTATCCGTAATATATTTTTTAAAAAAGATTTAGTTAATAAAATCCTATTATTTATAAAATTTTAATAAAACTAAAATATCGAAATAGCCTTTTTATTTTAATATAGGTCGATAATTATAATAGCGAATTTTTATTTAAAGCCTATTAATAATATTATTATGCTATAATTGCATAATTTTAAAATAATAAAATCCTTATTATTTATAGTATAATTGCTTATTTTTTAATTAGTTAAAAATTAAGCGTATTTATTTAAATATAATTTAATATAAACTTAAAATTATATTATAAAAAATATTTACGTAATCGTTTATTTAGTAAAAATTTTTATTTTTACTTTTAAGCGTATAGCTTCGAGCTTTTTTAATAACTTTGTATTAACTAAGGTATATAATTAAAAATGCCTTTTTTCGAATAAAAACTAATACGCTTTTTTATTTACATATTAATATATATATTATATAATTATAGCATTATTAAATATAATATTTAATAAGGAGTAATTAGGTAATTTTTTTATTTTATTATATTAGAGCTTATCGTAATTAGTTATAATATAAAATATATTTAAAACAATACTTATATAATTTATTAGCAATTTTTTTTTACGGTTATTTAACTTATTTATTAAAATAAAAATAGCAATACCGTTAAAATTATTATTTAAATATTTAAGTATATTAATTACGAATTGCTTTTTTATTATAAATAATATATATTATAAAAATATGCGTTTTAAGGTAGTAAGGTTTAAGCTTAAAATTAAATCTATTAGCTTTTTAATAATTTAAAATATTATTGCTAAATTAATTTTAAATCGATTTGTTTTATAATAATATTAAAATTTACGCTTTTCCGACGTTAAACGTTATCGGATATTATATTATTATCGTTAAATCTATTTAAGTTATTTAAATCGTTATTAAAATTTAAATTTAAAATTTTATTAAACCGTTTTAAAAAAGGCTAAATAGGAAAAATATTATTCGGCTAAAACGCAGCTATTTCCGCTTTAGGATTTTATAACGATTAAGTTATAAAAAAATAATTTTTTTATTATATTTTATTATTTATTTTTAATTTATATTTATCTTTTTTTTTAATTTTTTATATATTTTTTCCTTATTTTTTTCCGATACCGTATCCTTTCGATTTAATATTTTCCCGATTTCGCCGAAAACGTATTTAAAACTTATTCCGAATTTATTTTAAATTTATTATTTTATAATTTTACGATTTTCTAAAAATTGCTTTTAAAAGGCTAATATTTATATAATAGCGGTTACCGCCGAGGTATATACCTATAAAAGGTTATATATAAATTTATATACGCTAAAGTCGTAAATCAATTTATTTCTTTTATTTAAATAAATGCAAATAACGGTAGCCCCGCAGGTACCTTTAGGTTATTTTATGGATTCGCAAAATTGTGGAGAAATTCCTAAGTTATCTAGGGGGGGGTACCTTTAGTTTATGTGTAGTCTCGATGCTCCGCAGCTTGGCAAGATCTCAACCTTCCCAATAGGGCACCTGGACTGACTGCCAAGCCGGCGCGGCAGTGAGCTTGACCTGCCTTCCAACAGCATGGAACAAATGAAAGAAGGCTTGGCGATTGCGATACGAGCCGGCGAATGACCAGGTATGAGGAAGTTGGGAGTGTATTGATTTTCTTGGTTTTTTTTCTTCCATTCTTGTGGCATCTCGAGGGCGTGATTGATTGTCTCGCTCAAAACTGCGTTGACGGTCAACGGTCGCCAACGCGTTAGTGGTTATACACTGGCAAGAGTGGGGGCTACATTAGAGCCCTGTAGTGCTTGAGCCTCATCGGCAAAAGTTCAGGGCGCCGAAACCTTGTACCCTTTCTGGCAGTGGGCTCGTCTATTGGTGAAATTTCATTGGTCTAACTCTAAAAAAGAGTGGTTCAAATATGCATCAATTTCAATCAGACATGACGCCAGGCAACCAGGTACAAGTTTGTCTATTTTCTCTGCTACCTTATACTGACGACTCCAGCGATCCGAGGCTCCTTCAGGTAAGGGACCCGCGCTACCTACCAGATCAAAAATTCGCATTTCCACTGCTATTTTGCCTTACCTCGTCTCATATTACCCAACAAGGGTGCAAATAAGCTTTTTTCCTTGGTATGCCGAAAAGGACAGACGTGAGCGAAATATGATCTGCCCCCCCTGGTCCGAGGTTGCACTGCAGGTCCGCAGCGCTTTTCCCTCTGCGGCTGTTCCTGGTGACCCCGGAGCCACCCAGCTTCCTTGGGTGTTGGCCCCCTCACTACTGACGTGCTACATTGATGAAATTTCGGAGAGACCGTCAATCGTTTCTCAAGGTACGACAGCCCAGGTTTCTATAAAGGCCAGCAGTAGTCACAACTTCTCATTGTACTTTGCTCTTTGCCTTGCTCTTTTCTTACCCCAATCTACTCCCAGGCGTCGATTCTAGAGGTGTTGCTTCTCGTCACTCACAGTTGTAAAAAAAAAAAAAATGGTTCGTTCGCTATTGGTTGCGGCCCTAGCCGCCTCGACGACTGCCCTCAACGTCGCTCGCAAGGAGTCCCAGGACCTGTACACTATCGAGTTAGCCCCGGGTGTGACCCAGCAAGTCACTGAAGCAGAGAAATATGCTTTGAAGGCAGTGAGTGTACCACCTCGTCGGAAGCTACATCATGTACTCGTTTACATGGTGTACTTCGAGGGGGAAAAACATAAACCCTGGTATTTTCCTCCTGAAACTAATCTTTTCTCTTCATTCAAACTCAATAGGAAGGAAAAACCTTCTTTGACATTACAGACTTTGCAGACTTCACGTCAAAGGCCAAGAGGGGAGAGTTTGCTCCGAGGGCCGTCGTATTCCCGACTGCAGTAGCACAGCAGGAGTCGGTTGAGGCGCTCCTGCCCTCGCTCAACAAGACGCTGATCCAGGCCAACCTGCAGACGTTTTCTAACTTCCAGAACCGCTACTACAAGTCGAGCTATGGCAAGCAGTCGTCGGCTTGGCTCGGTAACCTCGTCAACCAGACTATCACTGCCTCGGGTGCCAGCGGCGTCTCGGCCGTCTTCTTCCCTCACACCTGGGGCCAGAGCAGTGTCATTGCTACTATTCCGGGCCTGAGCGAGAAGACCATTGTCCTGGGCGCTCACCAGGACTCCATCAACCAGCTGAGCCCGATGAACGGCCGAGCTCCTGGTGCAGGTAAGCATTTCCCAGAGTTCTTTTCCACCCCCTTGCACAAACTCCCAACATACTCCGTCCCCCATGCGTCCACGAAGCTAACCACCCTGTTTTGGCGTCTAGACGACGATGGCTCAGGCTCCATGACCATTCTGGAGGCTTTCCGCGTCCTCTTGACCGACGAGCGCGTTGCCGCCGGTCAGGCCCCCAACACCATCGAGTTCCACTGGTACTCGGCCGAGGAGGGCGGCTTGCTCGGTTCCCAGGCCATTTTCCAGAGCTACGCCAAGGCCGGCCGCGACGTCAAGGCCATGCTGCAGCAAGATATGACTGGCTATGTTGGTACCGGAAAGAAGGACCAGATGGGTCTGATTGTTGACAATGTCGACGACGCCCTTACCAACTTTATTCGCCTTGTTCTGGATGCGGTAAGTTTCAATCGCCATCAAGTCCATAGATTGAGCCCGGACGAAATCTTCACCATGTCCCTTGGAGTTGTTTTGTTTACCTTGTTTTGCAAATCTTGCTGACGAGATTCCTGTTACCTAGTACTCTGAGATCCCCTACGTTGACACCGAGTGTGGCTACGCCTGCTCTGACCACGCCTCTGCCTCCAAGGCCGGTTACCCTTCGGCCATGGTTTTCGAGTCCGCCTTTGAGGACCACTTGCAATCGATCCACACGGCGCAGGACACCATGGACAAGGTCAACTTTGACCACGTTCTGCAGCACGCCCGTATCACCACGGGTGCTGCGGTCGAGCTCGGTTTTGCTGACTTTGCTTAGATGCTTTTGCAAGACAATTTCTTGGATTACGATATTTTTCTGGGAATCGAATTTCAGTACAATCATGTTCAATTATTATTATTCGTAGCATTTATAGGATGTACTTGGAAATACGAAGATTGAAATTCTTGAAATTCTTACCCACTTCCTGGGACTTCTGCAATTGTCAAACTTTTTGTTCAATTGTTTAATAGTATGTTTCTTTTGGTCAATCCACGTTCCGGGTCATTCCTAGCTTATCTCGAGGAACGAAATGGGCTCCACACACCCGGGAGGCTAAGGCGGTACTTACCCAATTGCAATATATTATCTGACAAATACAACAACCATCACATACGCCCATACGCTCTAGAAAGCTCGGCATCCCGTCCGCTCTGCCCTAGATAAACTGGAGACGGAATACCATGGTGTTGATCAGTGTGCTCAAGCAAAACCTTGAGTAGGGGATCCATGATCCACCATCTGACAATACAATATGCCTACGCAGTATTCAGGCTTTGTGCAATACATCGGTATAAGGGTGACACCTTGTTATACATTAAGCCATCCTTACGATCCCTGTGTTTATTAGGCACAGAAGCTGCTTATTACGGCGAATAGGATCTAGGCCAATGTATTGGAACTTACGGCTATGAGGTTCATATTGATAGATACGGACAAATGAAAATAACATGCTGTAAAATGAAAAGTGAGCAGAAGTCCCGTTGCCTGTCGTCGCGCTATAAAAACTCGATCCTAATGCTCAATCCGTTCAAGAACTGTCTTGCAAATCGAGACTAGAGAGGATGCATTGAGTACCTCGAGAGTCGACAGCTCAACACCCAAATGCACTCTCAAATACCCACGAAACTCTACAGTCACCAAAGAATCGACACCGTAGTCTGAAAGTGGCCGCGTTGGATCGAGAGCACCAGACAGTCGCAGACTTTTGACAAGATATCGCTCGCAAACTGCCATGACCAGAGCAGAAACAGTCTTCGCATCCGCCTTGGACCGTAGAGCGAGGAGCAAGGCGCGTACATCCTGTGAGCCATCTGTTGGCTGTTGCTTCCCTACACTGCTCTCGCGTGACAAAAGTCCACTGAATCTTGCATCATACAACAGGTGAGATTCCTTTGGTTGGGGGAATTGTATGCCTGTGATTATATGAGCCGCACCAAGTACGTTCTCGGGGCTGTACTCCTGTCTCTGGATGGACGATTCGAGAATCTGTCCCAGAAGCTTCTCACCAATCCCATGCCATATTGCTGAATCAAAGCTGTCCCGTACCGTCTGATGCTCGGCCAGATATCCTCTATGATTGATGACGCCTAGAGAGATAGAGCAAGCATTCAAGCCAAGTCTTTGGCGATATGCTGCAAATGCATCCAAGAAGGTATTAGCAGACGCGTAGTTGGCTTGCCCCTTGTTACCGCAGATCCCAGATACACTTGAGAGCAGTGTAAAAAAGTCTAGACTTGACGGTTGTTCGAGTGAGACATTATGAATGTTCCAGGTTCCTCTGACTTTGCAATTCAATGCTTCGTAGAATTCATGTACCTTCATGGAGTCAAATATTCGGTCCTGGCATATATTAGCCCGGCCACAATCTCGTACGCAAAGCAAGCGTGTATACTTACCCGAAGAACCATTGCACCTTGTATCACACCACGAATGGGTGAATTGGTTATCTCGAATGCACGTCTGACGTCCTCAAGTATAGTCACATCGCCTTGGATAAAAGTGACAGTACAACCACATCCCTGCAGGTCGTTCTTGACCTTTTGCGATACCGGATCGTCCTGCCTGCTTCTAGACATGACGACCAGCTGTGTAGCTCCGTTCATCGCGAGGGACAAGGCGATAGTGCCGCATAAACCTCGAAGGCCTCCAACGACAAGGTAGGCGGCATCTCCCCTCAGTTTGATCGACGCTCGGGGGAGCCGCACAGGGACACTGACTTCAGAGTTGTTGTCGTTGTCGGTAATAACAAGCTTTCCAATGTGCTTGCCACTACCGATATGTCGTAGAGCTGCGGGTATCTCGGTAAAGGAGAATTGATGTATCGGAGAGATCGGTTTCAGGCTACCCTGGCGCAGCAGTCGAAAGACTTCGGAGAGAAGGCTAGATACCAATCAGTGGTTGTTCCCGGAAGTTCAATTGGGATTACTGACCGTCCTTTCCTATCATCGTCCATTTCCTTGTGCGAAAGGTCAAATGAACGAAACGTTGCGTTACGTTTGAATGGACTCATTGATAATAAACCCTGGTTGAGAATATCCTTCTTGCCAATCTCCACCATCGTGCCGCCTTCCGCTATGATGCGCCACGACTCGTCCAACAAGTCTCCTGTGAGGGAATTAAGGATAATATCAACTCCGCGTCCTTGGGTGTGATCCAAGATTTGTTTTGCGAAAGCCCTGTTCCGGGATGAGAATATTCTTTCGCGGGGAATCCCAAATGTAGATAGCAAGAAATCTTGCTTCTCTTGCGAGCCAACAGTGGCATATACCTAGAAAAATAATATTTAGCGGTCAACGCTACGTAACACTCATAAAGGTAAGGCATTGATAAAAAGTCAGTCGAGTTGTGGACCTACGGTTGCTCCGATATATTGGCACAGCTGGATAGCTGCAATTCCGACACCCCCTGTAGCTGAATGGATCAAAACGGTGTCACCAGCCTTGATTTCCCCAAGTGTGAAGAGACAATACATTGACGTCATGAAAGCGCAAGGAATTGTCGCCGCTTCCGCAAAACTCATAGTGTCAGGAATTACCTGAAGAAGCTTGGTAATGGTTGTGGCCGTGTTGCCAAATGAGCCCCTCTCGAAGAAGGCCACACGCTGACCTGGCTTGACGTCTGTTACGCCAGGGGCAACTCTGGTGACGATACCACTACCTTCTCCGCCAAGCAGATACTCGTTCTCGGGAATAAGGCCTAATGTGATGGCGACATCTTTGAAGTTAACTCCGGCTGCCTCGACCTTGATCTCAACACGATCACCCTCCAAGTTTGGAGGCTCGCTCGAGACTTCTTGGTAATGTAGAGAGTCCAAGTTACCGATTTGTTCCGCACGGAGTTGGATGACTCTACTATTATCTTGAAGCTTCAGGGTACAGAGTCTGCTGGGTACCTGATTCTCTTCCACGGCACTGTTTGCTTGAGAATCTGGCAATATGCGACCGATGTGAAGTATTCCGCCTCTTTCAACGAATTCAGAGTCTTGCCCCAGGGCCAAGGAGTCCCTGTACAGCATTCCCAAGCAAACTTCCACAGCACGGAGAGAAGAGCTATTGCAGAACGATTCTACGTCGAGTGATATCAGATTCAGTCCTGGATTCTCGTTTCGCATGACTCTGAGAAGCCCGTGTGCGATTGCCGAGTCGGGGTTATCCACTCTCATCTGGGCACCTCTGGTTACCCAGAGAATGTTGCACTCAGATCTGACAAGCTTCTGCAGCATCTCAAATTGTAGATCATTGATACGTGTCATGACGGTTGTTTCAGGATCGTCAAGTATCAAAATATGATCTCGCCGCTTGATATCAGACTTGGGTGTGAGATATCGTATACTACACTCCGAGTTACGGAGTGCTAGTTCGAGAGGATGAATTTGCTGCTCGTCAAACTTCACGATTGTAACCTCCCTTGCTGCCTCCTGAGATGGCACTTCAGCTGATATACACAACACGCCGATCTCCAGAAATACGATTGTATCAAACCCAGCTTCGGAAAGAATCGGCTCCAGAGCCTTGGTCATGGAGTCTTCTGCTACTATGAGCACAAAGCATGCCTTTCCGAGACTTGAGTGCACATTCCTCAAGGTAGTAGGAAGGTTATGTGCCTCCCCAGGCAGAAGCCTTATCAAAGCAACATCAAACCCTGAATGATCGGCAAGACTTGAAGATTCAAAGTTGTGCACCGCGTACTCGGTCCGGTTGTCACTACCGTGCCTCTCTGCTATGGTTGCAACTGTGTTTGCATCGCTTGAGTAGTATTGGTATCGGGATAGCCTCACTGGTTGGGAGTTCTTTGTCTCGTTTGCATCGTTCTGATCGAGAAGCAAAGACGACGGGTCCTGAGACTCAAGGTTTATCTCAAGGACCTGCAGATCAGGCTTCTTGTGGGCAGCCAGTTGAACAAGCTTCCGTGCGAAAACCCGTGCTCTGTCAAGGCAGGGGCTGCTGGGTCCTGCTGTGGTTTCGATTTCCAATCTCCTCCAGTCGGACACTGATAGATAATTGATGTCCGCGTCCCAGTGCACTCCTGTAAATGTATGCAATGATGACAGTGCTCGGGATGAATCAACCTCTGTCAAACGAAGCCCGTTCAGTTCAAGCAGCAGTGACCCTGTTTCCGGATCTGCGACGTAGCAAGATAAGCTGTAGCTTTTGGGTGTGTCTTGCCGGCCTACTCCATTGTATTCAAATCGAGCAGATACGGTAGCTTCTTGAGTTTGTTGTGTCGGGAATGGTAACGTCATCTCGTCAAGAGCAAACGGGACCATGGCAGCCGAACCGGTAAGGAATCGAGCCTGGCCTAGCACGAAGCTTGTAGCTTGAAAGCAGCCATCCATACAAGCCGGATGCAGCAAGTAACGAGACTGCTGCCATTTTGATCCAGGAGGCACGAGAGACACCATGGATCGGCTAGTACAGTCGCCTAAGATGTGCTCAACAGCCAAGTGTTTCTGGAACGCTGGCCCAAAATTCATGCCAATCTCTTGCATATTATAATACCATTCCTTTGTGGACATGGGATGCTGAAGAGGCATCATCAATCTGGTAGGATTCTCAAAGTCCATTTGGCTGCTTTCAATTCGTACCAGTCCGGACGCGTGATGGGTCCAAACATCTGATTTCATGGACGATACGCGGAATTCGTACCACGAGTCCATGGAGCCGGTGAATGGTGCGAGGGTCAGATTTATCGTAGTGCTCTCCGAAGTACTCAGCACTAAAGCCCGTGAAAATTTGGCGTCCCTCAAACGAAAGACACAATTATCCGGTGTCACACCCTTCCATATGCTCATGGTATTGGCTTGGTACATGGCCTCGATAGCCATGCAGATGTATCCAGATGCTGGGAACACGACCTGATCTCCGATTTTGTGGTCCATCAACCAAGGAAGATCTTGGATGCGGATCGTGTTTCGCCACGTTGGATTGGACCATGTAGTCCCTAGAATCTTGCTTCCCAATAAGTCATGCTTAATAAATTTCCTCTGGCGCCAGTCCTGGCTCGCGAGACTTTCTTTCCAGTATTTCTCGGAGTGGTTCCAAGCGTAGTTGGGGAGGTCGATGAGGACATGTGGAACCTCCTTCTGGTTCGTGTACCCGTTCACTGCAGTAACATCTACAGAGCCTCCAGTACCTATTATGATGCCAGGGAGTTCGTAGAGAAGTGATTCCATGTCTTGGTTTCTCTTAGCCACTGAGGTATACCTCAGGTCGGATCGCTGGTCTTGGACAGTGCGAAATGATTCTTGAATTGGGCCGGAAAGCGTGTTGGAGGGGCCAATTTCAATGAAAATGTTAGGACCAGTCCTAGTCTGGAGCAAGGAGCAAACGGCAGAGTCAAAATTTACTTCGGCGACCAAGTTCCGCTGCCAGTAGGAAACGTCCGGAGGGCCGCCTATCTCTGCACCAGTGACCGAAGAGAACATTCTAATATTTGCACCATTGTTTATCTGACATGGTTGATCAATACCAGCTCTGCAAATCAAGTCTTTGTAGACACTTGCAGCAGGAAGCATGTAATCAGAATGGTAAGCGACGTCGACTTGTAATAGTCGAGTGAAATGACCTGCGTTTTGTAGCTTCTTTTGCAGAAGTTCGAGTCCTTGAAGTGAGCCCGAGACAGTGGTGCTGCTTGCACTATTTCGGCACGCAATTTGTACATTGTCGTCAGACTTGATGTACTCTCGAAGTACTTCAGCGGGTAGTCCTACCGCAAGCATACCAAGTTGGGACTCGTCCTTGGTTTGCTGAACCGCTACACCACGGAGGTACGCAATCTTGATTGCAGTTTCTTCCGAGAGATAGCCAGCAGTGTATGCAGCCGCAATTTCGCCGGAGGAATGGCCTACGACAAAACTCGGCCGTATACCCCAAGCCGAGAGAACATTGACATATGCCACCTGGAGCGCGGTGATTAGAGGTTGGGATAGCTCCGGGCGCCGTAGAGCTGAGGGCTCACGATCCAGAGTAAGCTCTTCAAATAGCGAGAAGTCTGGAGGTTGGGGAAGGTGCATGAGGGCAGCATCAAGCCTCTTCAATGTCTCTCTAGCTTCCTTGTGGTTTGTCAACAATGATTTACCCATTGTGGGCCACTGTGCGCCTTGGCCAGTGAAAGTGAAAGCAAGTACTGGGGTTTCAGGAAGTCGTTTCACGAAAGTGAATGTATCCTTCTTGACACAGGTGTCTCGTATTACTGCAAATGCCCGATGTCGTAGCAGGCTCCGACGTTCTGACATGGTGTAGGCTAGATCAAGCGTGGATGCTTGCACAGCTGGGTTTACCAAGCAAGATACAAGAGAAGCAGCATAATCTCGTAGGGATTCTTCATCATTGGCAGACAATACAAGGAGATATGGTCTTGCACTGGGCGTGGTCGGAATGATGCAACAATCGTCTAGGAAGAAATCTCCGTCGATATCCTCGTTAGTGAGAAAACAGGATCTGTGTTTCGGTTGATAGGTTGGAAGAAGGTATTTGGGAGATTCCAGCACAGCGTGAGCATTGGCTCCACCAAATCCAAAGGAGTTGATGCTTGCACGTAGCTTCGAAGTTTTCGGCCAAGGGATTGCCGTCCTAGATACCTTGAAGCCGAGTCTGTCGAAATCTATTGTAGGGTTCGGTGTACGAAAAGAAGGCGTGCCGGGTATCAAGCCGTTCTCAATAGAGAGAGTAGCCTTGATGATACTGGAGAGCCCTGCAGCAGCTTCGGAATGTCCAATGTTGCTTTTGATAGACCCGATCACGATGGAGTCCCTGCTTGATTTGATAGTACGAAATACAGCAGCTAGGCCTTCAATTTCGGCAGGATCTCCAGCCCGTGTGCCAGTACCATGACATTCGACATAACCTGTCTCTGAAATGTCCGAATTTGGGATACCAGCAACTCGGTACGCATCTCGAATGACAGACTCTTGGGCTTTCGGACTAGGCATGGCAATACCTGCCGTCTTGCCTGCACTATTGACTGCAACACCTCTTATGACGGCTCGTATGGGGTCGCCGTCGCGTATTGCGTCGTCGAGTCGTTTCAGCAACACCGAGTTCACTGCTTCTGCTATTACATATCCATCTGCGTTGGTATCAAATGAATGACAATAGCCTGTCGAAGACGCTGTCTCACGCATTGCACCCATATCTTGGTTTCTCTCTGGGCTGAAATACATGTTCACGCCCCCAACCAACATGGAGTCGGCTTCACTGCTGCGCAGGTAAAGGCAGGCCAGTTGCAGGGCTGTCAACCCGCTGGAACATGCGGTATCAACCGTGATGCTATATTCTGATAAGATTGATGTTTTCCTAGCATGAACTGCTCGATAATGAATGCTCACCTTGGCCCGTGTACATTGAGGAAATGGCTTATCCGGTTGCTTAGGAGGGCGCGACCGCATCCCATGGTAGGAGAGTCGGTTCGATCTTCCGGGTCTCGGCAATCCATATCATGATAATCTACAAAGAAATATACATAAGCCGAGAGCGGTTTCGCCTAATGCGGCTCGATATATCCGAAAACTTACCAACAGCGCTTGCACCCACAATGCAGCCCATCCGCGTACCATCGATCTGTTCCTTGGGGATCCCGGCGTTCTCCAGACATTCGTAAGCAACTTCCATGAGTACTCTCTGCTGAGGGTCCATCGAAGAGGCTTCTGAAGCATTGATCTGGAAGAATTGAGCGTCAAAAGCTGCTGGATCAACGTCCTCCATAAACATGGCGCCAGGTGTCTTCATGGTGTATGGCTTTTGCGACCCATCGTGATGACCCTGCAGCCTGAAACGATTGGCGGGAGGCGTGATATCTGCTACCTTGCCGTCCTTGAGAAACTCCCAAAGGTCTCGAGGTGACATAGAATGTCCTGGAAGCCTGCAAGCCATGCCAATGATAGCGATTGGAACTGGGAAATCACATTGTTGGGCTTTGGTATGACCTCCTTTTCTCTCGGTGTAACCGTCCACAGCAAAGACATTGCTGGGTTGATGATGATTTGGATCCATTTGCACTAAACGGGCCCAGGTTCAGCAGTGCCTTATAAGAATAATGGCAAGCATACAGGTGTCTCCTTTCAACCCGCTACGAGGATTGAAGTGAAAGAAGGAATTAAAAATTGTGAGTCGATTTGCACCAGCACTTGAGATTGACCAAATGGCACGAATATGGGAAGGGGAAAGCAAAAAGAGCAGTAGTCAATTCCATCCCGTAATTCTCGCCGTACATAGTCGTCCTATAAATATGGCAGAGAGGATGATGCACCGAAACAATTGGCAGAGTAAGTGCTGAAGTTGAGTTCGCCTAAGGCCTAGATCTGGTGCGGCCCAGCTGTGTCACGTCAGGAGGCCCCAACATCGCGAACATCTCTTCATGTAGGGCGCTTTCGGCTCCAATTCAAAGTGCGGAGCATGGTCCCTACCTATTGGAGCCAACTTGATAGGATGAGATAATGATCCCAAGTATCTGGGTACGTGGAGGGGCGTACGACGGTATCTTGCAGGCGATAGCCCCCCTGTAACGTTGGGGTTACTTCGGGTCCTTGACAGGCAGGCAAAGGCCAAATGGTATAAAGACGGGGCAATCGACCCATCGTCAAGAGCGACCTAGGACGCGGCGCAATATGACTGCATTCAATGTTCAGTTCCCAGGATATACAGGAAGATGGCATCCAAAGTTCATCGCGAACAGGTAGAGTTCAAAACTCTGGATGGCTTGACGCTTAGAGGTGCGGTTTATCCAGCCAAAGACTATGGTCCTGGAATTATCATGACCCCTGGAGTAAGTCGGACCCGTTGTTGTAGTGAAGAAGAGGTGATTGATCCGCAGTGCATATAGTTCAATCTCACTGGGGACACGCTTCTTCCCAAGGTGGCGGAATATTTCCAACAAGCAGGAATTACAGCTCTTGTCTACGATCCGCGTTCCATAGGCTCAAGCGAGGGGTACCCTCGCAACAACATCGATCCGGCGCAGCAGACCAATGACTATCACGATGCATTGACTTATCTCAAGTCTGACGCGAGAGTCGATTCCGGCCGCATTGCGTTTTGGGGGTTTTCCTTCAGTGGGGCCGTTGCCCTGGCGGCGGCGGCGCTCGATACCCGTGTGCATCTCGTACTTGCCGTCTGCCCGCTCACTACATGGGATCTGCCAGCAAACAAGTACCGTGGCGTTCTATCAAAGGCGATGCAGGACCGCGAGTCGCAGCTTGCGGGAAATAAAGCATTTTCCCTCCCCATGATCACCCAAAAAGGCGAAAACCCTGCCGGGTTCGGAGTGGGATTGGGAACGCGTGAGTGGGAGTTGGTGCAGGAGTCCAAGCAGAGGATGCCCAATTTGGAAATGAATACGTCGATTCAGACATATTACAACATCATGGCTTGGTCGCCTTTCCAAGCCCTGCGCTTCCTGAGCCCCACGCCAGTTTTGTTGGTGACTCCAGACGAGGACCGCATCTCGCCCATGGCACAGCAGAAGGAGCTGATTTTGGACAAGATAGAAGGACCGAAGCAGATGCATGTCGTCCAAGGGAAAGGGCACATGGATGTCTTGGACGGTGATGAGTTCATCCCTTCAATGATCGCCCAGGTCGAGTTCATTCGCCACTATTTTGGTAACTAGTGGTGGTAGGGTGATTGTATGAACAAGGTCAAAGTTGTATTTACTATGCAGATACTCGATCCCTACAGGGCGCAAACGGGAAAATGGCCAAACGAAACTCTATGCTCGATTCGCTGTATTTCCCTCATTGGGCTGAAACGCTGCAAGTACGATTAATCTGACAAGCATCATGTCTCTCCATTCATCACTGCCGGTCCCTAGCTCTTCCACAAAGAACCTTGCCGCATATGCACCAATCTTACATGGGCCAACACTTGCGCTAATGGCGGGGGGCACGCGGGTGAGATCACTAAAGTCTTGGCCCCTGCTCGACTTGAAGACTCTACACAGTACAGACAACAATGCTGTTGGTTGCGTATATTCATGTTTGTATGAGGCGTAGCAAACTCTTCCAATATATGATGTGACTGGGGGCCAAATCTCGGGTATTAGGTCCGGATCGAACTGTTTATCCTCGGCACTGTTACCCTCGTATCAGCAAATGATGAGTTGTTGCCTTGTGGAAATACGTAAGCGCCCAGCTGCTACCTGTAAAAATTGATACTACATACCTACGTATGCATGCGCCCAGGTCCAAATTGCTTTGGGGGCCCTGGGTGCACGATCCACTAACGATACCAACCTCCTCAGCCAGGCTCTCAATGTTTCTTCTAGATACCCAAGGTACCAGTTACCTACCGCAGCGGGGGACGCCTGCAAGACTTGGTATATAGTATATTGAGACTTGCTAAGAATTAAGCCTTGTGTCCACTATAAGCCTGCTGTAGCAATGATATCTTGTGAATCACACAACTCTTTGTGGATCCATCATAATAACCACTGTAAGCCCACTGTAACCATCCACTAAATCCAGCTGGCAAAAAGTCAAAAACACAGAATCTTTCCCGTACTTTAACAACCAATGAAATTAAAAGTACGACTTAAATATATAATTATCACGGATCTATGAGTAACGAAAACAGGACAGCTTAAGTTGGTATATACGTCGTAGTGGTGGCTTTCAGTGGGCTTCCACGAGAGCCACCAAGATATCTCTGCTACAGAAGGCTTGCGGCGCTTGGATATGTAAGCATTACAAGTCTTGTTGGTCCCCACACTTTACCACTGTGATGCCTTACCAAGAACAGGGCTCTTGACTGCCGGAACCTGTTGCGGGAAGGATCTAACCGTTCAGCCATAACTGGTTGGTTCTCCGCAACCTCTGCTCTGCAGCCCCCAAAATTTGGATCCTCAGCAGCAGATGCCGAATTTGGAGGCCCTACTCGAGGGGATTCCAACAAAGTTGGAGTCGCGACGCCAGTACGACGTCGATGGCTATTTCGGTATGTGACCCTTGCAAATCGATGCACCTCAATTTGATGGTGGTGTAGGCCACGCCGCACAATAATCGCCAATTGTATATTTCCATTGGCAGATGCGGGCGGTGCTTTATCCACCATCGCCAACGCCAAATCAGCCTCGCGAAGAATGGTAATGTCCTTGTTCCGAAGGATCAGTCTAACAATACGCTCACGGAGTGAGTGCCGCAAAGATACACCGTTGCGTGTGGGGATGCTAGGACATGATGCTGAGCAAATGGAATCCTTCAACACTGCCTACCTCATTATTATTCGGCCGGATAGGGCGCCATAAAATAGTGTTATACCGCCGTGAGAGACTCTACCTCATTGTAATACGTATGCTACAGTCAGCATTCAATCGTTCTTTGCCAACTCATGTTTGCTCCACCTAATACAGTCGACACCATGGGAGCCCTTCGATTTGCGCTGATGCTATGGGCAGCCTCGGTTCAAACAAGCTTAGCTGTGCCACTCAACCAGACTACAGCATACTCTAACAATACCTTGTGCAAGGCTATCCCTGGTGACTCAAGCTGGCCGACTGACGCAGACTGGGCTCAACTGAACAGCACTTTGAACGGACGTCTGATTGCCTCAGAACCAATCTCTTCCGTATGTCATAATCCAAGCTTTGACGAAGATGCTTGTTCAGCTCTGAGGGAGATTTGGCCTTTTGATACGCCTCAGTAAGTGTTGAAAGGACCATTTTTCAACGTTGTGTTGCACGAACCCCTTGGGACTAACTGCGTAAAGTCTTGACTCCCCCCCAGATATTCTTGCTCCATACTTCCAAAATCAAAGCTGCGATCCATTTACTCCCAGAGAACGACCATGCTCTTTGGGCAATTATGCGTCTTACTCAATCAACGTCACAGGAGCTGCGGAAATCCAAGCGGGTATCCGATTTGCTCGTGAGAAGAATGTTAGACTAACATTGAAGAATACCGGGCATGAGTAAGTTACTGTTGCATGAACACGTACAGATCCAAGTCACTAAAACTTGGTTTCAGCATACTAGGGAAATCAACCGGCAAAGGCTCGCTTTCTCTGTGGCTACACAACTTGAAAGCGATAGAATTCTTTGACAACTATAGCCAAGGCTCCGAATACAGAGGCCCATATGTCAAGCTCGGAGCGGGAGTGATACTTGACGAGGCCTATACCGCCGCATCTACCCGAGGATTTCGGGTAGTTGGCGGCACTTGCCCGACCGTGGGGATATCTGGGGGTTATGCCGCTGGTGGTGGGCACGGCGCTTTTACATCAATCTATGGCATGGCCGCAGATAATGTTCTGGAATGGGAAGTTGTCACAGCAGACGGAAGCCACCTATTCGCCAACCCGGAAAGTAATAGCGATTTATACTGGGCACTTAGTGGTGGTGGCCCTGGCACTTTTGCTGTTGTGGTTTCCATGACCATGAGGGTATACCAGGACGACCTCATGACCTCCACTAGCCTTACCTTCAGCAACACCAGCGTCGGTGGCGTTGAAGAGTTCTGGCGCGGTGTCACGGCATTTCACAGCAGTCTGGTTCCTCTTGTCAGTGCGGGATCCGTTGCCTCCTTCGTGCTATCGCAAACCTCCCTCACAGCCTTCAATATTGCTATTCCAAGCAGTAACAGCACTTTGGTGAATTCTACCCTGGGTGAGATCACAGCGACAATGGCACAGGCTGGTGTCAACGCGAGCCTCATACCTACTCAGTACTCGGGTTTCTTTGAGATGTATAATGCAACTCTCAAACCTGTGGTTGAGAGTACCCCGGCTGCACAAATTGCTGGAGGTCGCTTAATCCCGCGAAGTCTAATCGAAAACAACGACACATCACTTGAAGTGACGCAGGCGTTTCGATCGGCTGTAGAGGCGGGCTTCAATGTCATATGCGTTGCGATTGATGCACGGAAGCCACCCATGTACGAGAATTCCGTATTTCCTGGGTGGAGGTCCTCCTTGATGACTTGTTTGATCCAACAGTCATGGGACTTCAACGTGCCTAGAGAGGAGATGTTGTTACGGCAGGCAAAATTGACAGACGTTGTCATGCCCGAGATCGAAGCGGCCACTCCAGGTGGAGGCGCATATCTCAATGAAGCCAGCTTTCAGCAGTCTGATTGGCAGCAGACATTCTACGGCGCCAATTACCCTCAATTAATGGCTGTGAAGTCGAAGTACGACCCTGAAACTTTGCTGTACGCTGCGACTGCTGTGGGAAGCGAAGCGTGGGTTCCAGATTCTGACGGTCGTCTGTGCCGCTCATAAATCGTGTTTGCCCATTGATTTACACAGACAAGTACCAATGAACTGCCTGCTTAAATATTAACCTGCCTTAGCGCTTTAGATAGTTTCAATTGAATTAGCTCTTTATAAACAAAGTTAATTCGGATTGATATATTACATGGAAATAATGATCATGTGTGATGGACTGCATGGATCAACTCTGTTGAGCTGTTCATAGAAAACGGTAGCCCGAAGAACAGAGCGGCTGATCCAGGCTTAAGACGTACACAGCGATCTACTGGTGGAGTTGGCGCCCAAGACTGCCCGCCATGAATTGATTCAACCTGCATTAAGGTGCCTAACCTATATAGGTAAAAACCTAACTACAACTATGGGGCTTCTGGGTGGTTCAGAAGGCTTCTGTGTATAATAAAGCCTGCTAATTTGCAAGGTCTTCTGTGGGGAAATGTTCTTCTCAAATCAAGAGTTCTTCTTAAACCAAGAATTCTTCTCGGATCCCCACTATAGCGTCCCCTAACAGCCACTGTAACCATCCACTAAAGCTATCCACTAAACTGGCAAAATACAAAAAGAAAACTCTCGATTTTTCCTCTTTCTTCTAACAACAAACACTACGATATAAACACAAGACCCGCAGAACTGTAATAGAAGTGATAGGCTTACAACTACGGCATTACGGATTGATAAATTTACAACGATCACGATGATGCAGCCGATAGTTTGAGAGTATATCATGTAACGGTGCCTTTAGCGGTCCTCTCCAGGGGACTAAGAAGAACTCTTGGTTCAAGAACTCTTCGTTTGAGAAGAACATTTTTCTACAGAAGGCTTTTAACGCTTCCAGAAGGGCATGCACACTTCTTTGCCATCCCAATTTCCCACTCCTGATGTACCGAGAAGACCTGAACTCGAGTGCTTGTCAAGGCACCTTACCAAGGGAGTTCTTCACCATTCATTCTGAAGAACTTGCCCGATGATTCTTCACGAGTTGCGCCATCGATCTTACGACAGTTAGAAACTAGTGCAGCTGTGATGCTGTAAGCACTTACCACTTTCATCATGCCTGTAACGCTTTCCTCGATGGTGTACGTAGGCGGTATCTTCCACTCCTTGGCAATCCAGTTGCCAATATCGGTCCCAACAAGCCTTCGAATGAGTGATTTAGCACACCATCTAACGAGAAGCTAGTGTACGAATAGAATCAGAAAAATGAGAAGCTTACCCCGGGTTGATGGCAATAGCAGTAAGGCCTTCATTTGTGAAATGTATGGCTCTGGTATTGTGTCAGTCTCTGTATCCCTTGAGTTGGGAAATGCTCATCATACCGAGTGATCCAATTTAGAGCAGCCTTCGCAGCTGCATAAGCAGCACCGTCCCAGGAGCGAATTGTCCCCATAAGAGTGATAGAGCCTCCGCCTGTGGAAATAGAAATCCATTTTGGCGATTGAGACTTCTGGAGCAGCGGTCGACATGCCTGGAATAGCATAAGAGGTCCGACTGCATTGACTTGATACTCTCTAATCATCTCATGAGCCTCAACACTCTCAAACGGCGTTGTTGGAACTGGTGTCCCTCCAGCATTGGCTATCACGAGATCCAGGTGGTCGATGCCAGAGTCGGCAACCTCTTTCAAGGCGTTTGCAGCATCGGTCGGAGACTTGCTCTCAATGGTCACAAGCATCAGCTTGGAACCATTGGCAGGCGTGAACGACCGCAATTCTGCTACGGCGGGCGTCGAAGCAGCAGTTTCCCGAATGCTCCCAATGACCGTGTGGTTTGGTCGAGAAAGATAGGCTTCCGCAAAGCCTCTTCCAATCCCTAAGCACCTTGTTAACAACAACTGCCGTGGTAAATGATTGAATTGTCTTTATGAAAGGAGAGTATCAAGCACCTTTATTCACACCACTGATGAAGACTACGAAAGACATGGTTGATGCAATGGTCGAAGTGAAACAAGTGTGTTGAGCAGTTCGAAGGGTGCAGCGCGAATCCGTGTTGATCGATATGAGTTGGTAGGTAGGTCTACTACTGCTGGTAAGTAGTCCTTGGGATCGCACAAGACCGAGGCAACAGACTTCATCTGAGTTTTGGTGCTGCCAGCCTGCTTCTCTGCACAGTATGCTCATAGGTCCCTCGGGCGTGACAAGTAGATCAACCCGATGAGCGTTATCGGGGTTGATGTTGGTTGCATTGCCTTGTGGGGCGGATCAGCGGGGCATACTACACTTCAGTGACTTACAGTGCATTTAGTGGCAGACATGTCGGACAAGGATTCTTTCAGCAGGGACTAGGCTGCAAGATGGGGGCGCAAAATGTGACTTAGCAATCGTGTACTGCATGTGCTGAGTGCTTTGTGTAATCAGCACGCACTAGAGGCTTGGTACACAATACCACATTGAACAAAAAGTCCTTTGCATGACGTGAAGCTTATTCATGTACCACCTGCTTGAGTAGCGGTACCTAATACCGTACTATGGTAGGACTTCTAATCATACGCCTCGCTGCCAAGCAAGATTCATTCAGCGTAACGTTGGGGCTCTACGTACATTCGACATGACTTTGTTCATGACCATGTTCCTCGAGATTTCGGCAGACGAAATGGCGATGCTATTGCCGCGAAGTTATAACCAATGCATGACCTGGGCCGTGGGGCGAATCAATACTTTAGCTACCGCTTTTTCGATTCATTGAACACGTCTTTGAACAGTAAAGGAACAATGTTCAAAGATATCTCTAGCCCTTGGGATCGGATTCTACAGTCGTGGATTCACGATGTTAGGTCTCCCGGCACCATGATTTTTGTCTTTTTCCCATTGGGCTTCGCGTTGTACCAATTCGTAGTAATCATTTACCGCCTATATTGGAGCCCAATCGCCAAATTTCCTGGTCCCAAGCTCGCCGCATCGACTTACTGGTATGAAGCCTATTATGACTTCATCAGTAAAGGTGGTGGTCAATTTACGTTCCAAATAAAAAGACTTCATGAGGAGTATGGGCCTGTGGTGAGAATCACGCCGGACGAGCTCCATATTGATGATCCCGACTACTACGACGAAGTATTCTGCAATAGCCACTCGTCAAGGCCGATTGACAAAATGGAGCGATTCCGATACCGTCTCAACCATCCAGACTCGACATTAAGCACTACCAGTGCGGAAGACCACAAAGCCCGTCGCGCGGCACTGGCGCCATTTTTTTCAAGCAGTCGCGTTCGAAGCTATAACGGTGATCTTCAAGCAATCATGGAAAGGATCTCACACAGACTTGCAACTGAGTTCGCAGGCACTGATCGCGTGATTCATGTCACTCATATGTGGGCAAGTCTCACGGCCGACATGATCATGGAGCTGGCGTTTGGACATTCCTCCCGTCTTCGCGATGCACCGGACTTCCGATCGCCTGTTCCTGAAGCAATGTCAAATATTGCATACCTCGCACATTACGCTACGCATTTTCCAATCATTGGCATTATGATCAAGTTCCTCCCTGATGCACTGATGAACATGCTGGCCCCGGCAGCGCGGCCTCTGCTTGAATTTCGAAGTGTAAGATTTCTACCATCTTTACCACTCCCCAAGGTATGTGCTAATAATGGCAGGATATGAGAAAACATCTGCAACAGATCAAATCAGAAGCTGTATCTGGAGCAGAAAAAGCAGCGGGAACGACTATATTCCATGACATTCTTTATTCAAATCTTCCGCCAGCGGACAAGTCTCTGGAAAGGCTTACACAGGAAGCAATACTGGTGAACGGAGCTGGTATTGAGACAACCACCTGGACGCTCACTGTGGCGACGGCCCACATCTTGCTCAATCCTATCATCAACGAAAAGTTAAGCGCAGAACTAAGAGCAGCCATGCCTGATCCCACAGATATACTACCCAGTGAAAAGTTGGAAAATCTTCCATATCTGAACGCAGTCGTGATGGAATGTAAGTCACTCTGTCTCATGTTCGGCCAAAGTCAGAAATGAAGAGATTGCTAACATTTACAAGCTTTGAGGCTTTCTTTCGGCTCAGTGCAGCGACTCCCGCGTATCAACCGTCTTTTCGGTCTTGAATACCATGATCAACACATACCCCCCAATGTTCCCGTAGCTATGGATGCGTTCCACATGCACATGAATGAGAAGATCTTTCCAGATCCTTCGGAATTCAAGCCCGAACGATGGCTAGACGATCCCAAGGCGCCCGACAGCCTAAAGCCCTTGAGCAAGTATCTTGTTTCGTTCAGCCGCGGGTCCAGGGGATGTGTCGGGAAGAATTTGGCCATGATGGAGCTACACGTGGCGCTAGCGACATTGTTTCGTCGGCATGAGCTGGAGCTATACGAGACGACCAAAGAGGACGTTGAATTTGCCGTCGATCTAGTCAAGCCAGCACCGAAGCCGAGTAGTAAAGGCGTCAGGGTCTTGGTGAAGGATGCAAGGCTGTGAAAGACGAACACCTTAGAGCCAGGATATTGATGTTCGGCATGGGTAGCTAACGTACACGCTTGGCCAAGGTTTGAAAATATGTTGTGATACAGCTTGTTATGCTCATATGTGTTGGCGCTCCATTCGCGAGCAGTGAATCACCTGCATACCAGGGTATGCTACTCTTGCCTGGATCTCTGTTTCGTTTCGTGGGTACTATGACATGGGTGCTGGTTGTTATCCCTTTCCGGCCGGTGTCCCGCCAACATGGAAAGAATTGGTATAGATCACCCACGCACTGGATATGCTATGGCCCCGGAAGCGACGAATAGATGATTGGATAGAATTAATAAGTCTGCTGCTTTGGACGATGCCAACAAATTGGCATGTACGCAGGTTCCCTGTGGTGTGCATTAGTTCTAAAATTGGAGCTTTGGAGTGCCCACCACACACATTGTATTCTACCACAGGCGCATACTACAAGTGACAATCCATCCCGTTTCGCGGTTCTAAAACTGCAATAACGGTGGGTAACTTTTCATTCAACCTCAGTTCGGAATTGTCTTGCCACGCCTTGCAGCATATGTACTGTGTACGTGTGCGGGTAGAGTATATTTGATCTTTCGCTTCATATGTTCATGATCTGCGTTGTATTTATCTGCATTGTGTTCATAAGCACGCTAAACGCCTGGATGCACATTTGGGGGGCTGGAAAATCCGTCATCTTCCCAGGAAAGCAGTGTAGCACCACGATATATCCTCACGCCTTTATTTCCGATACCACGCCCCGTTTCCCCCCCCCCCAAACCAGCACCTTGTACTCGTACTTCGTACTTCCCTCCTTTCAGCCGGGAAGGATCGCATCCGTTGAATCCTGCTTGGTTATGCATCCATATGATATGAACACAAGTGGCAAAGCACGTCCGGGATTTCGTTGATGCGCGTGGGTAAGGCTGGGCGCAATTGCTCTCCCGCGACAATATGAGGCCGGGCAATGCCACCGAGGCCTCTCCGCGGGAACTATCTCTGAATCACTTGCACCAAGTACCTCGCCTCGATAACAGTCTACCTCAAGACCGCTATGGAGCCCCGAGCCGAACATCATGTGTCCAACATTGGGCCGCTCAGTGTCGGCATCAGCTGGTTTCTCACCTCTGTGGCCATCATATTCGTTTTACTTCGATTCTATTTGCGTTGGAAGGCATCCAAAGGATGGGCTTCTCCCGACTGGATCATTCTCGCAGCCCTAGCGTTCCAAATCGCTTATCAAGCTGGCTTCACAGCCATGTGTAACGCCGGCCTCGGCAAGCTCACGAAAGATGTCCCGCCGGCTAACTTGGTGCAAATTGCGAAACTGAACTGGATATTTGCTCCCCTAGCTCACCCTGCGTCGTTGTTGGCGCGAGTGTCGATCGCGATCCTGCTTGCTCGCATCTTTAGCAGCAGAAAATGGTTCAGACGATACGCTATCACGGCTACGACGATCCAGACAATTTTGGGTATCGCTGTGTTTATTATAAACTTGGCGCAGTCGATTCCATACGCGGCGCTATGGGATAAGTCAATTGTTGGTGCCAGGAAATGGGATCCTCAGATTTACCATTGGGCCGCGGTAATCCTACAAGGTAAGTCATGACATCCATGACCCCCTCTGATGCGGGTGGATGGTATTCTTACTTGTGCCCGACAGTGATTTACACGATCTGGGACTTTACATTTGTCTTGTTCCCCGTGATGATGATCTGGAAATTGAACATGAACTGGCGCCGAAAACTTGCCATCATGGTGCTGATTGCGATGTCGCTCATCACCATGGCGGCTGCAGCTTCCAAGATGGTCATCTCACTACTGTTCACGATCGATGCGACCGACAGTCTCGATAGCATACGGGGCACCCACGTCATTGATTTCACGACTTGTCTCGAGCAGGCTTTGGTCATCATCATGGGATGCGTTCCGACCGTACGGTTGATTTCGGGGCTTAATCTGCCGTCGGTGAGGCAGATTGGCAACTCCCTCGTTAGTCTCATCACCCGAAGTCGTTCAAAAGGTTCTACAACCGGGGGATCAAACTCTCGGCGTTCTGAGTCGACCGAAAATTTGGAACTAGGGATCCAGCACAAAAATGCAGATGCAGTCTATCCTTATGGCGTCAAAACTGCATCGGCTGTGGTAGCGGCGCCCCAGGGAGCGCAAGGTCCAACCTTTCAGCATTCGGATGACCAGGTCCACCGCACCAACAGCTACTCAATTACTTACCAGAGTGGAGCTGGGCACTGAAAAGAACCGGCTACTCACGAGAAGATATTGTGTTACTAGGCGATGGAGAAAAATGTGGTTTTGGGGGGAAGATGGGGAAGGGAGGGGTGATACCAAGGCTCGGTGAGCCGTAAACCTTCTGGACTTTCTGGACCTGAGAGCAGGCTGATGCTGCAGCTGGCGAGAAAAATGCAACTGTCTATCAGCCAAATTCCTCCAAATTTTACCCTTAGCATCATATACAATTCAAATATCCGTGGCTTTCATCTCCTCTTCACCTGTGTTTTAACAGGAAACGTCCCAAGGCCCAGAATAATCCAGATTCTACCACTGTGGTGTCATGTTCTTTGACAATGCCCGCGGCTAGATGCGGGGTTCACAGCTTACAGAGTTCGTTTGCAGCATTATTCTCTGATCAACATTCGTACTTTCCGTGCTTGCTTGTGGGTCATCACCATGGGAAGCACCTACAGTACATGCGACTTTAACACATCCAGCATGATGCAGCGTTCAAAAAGCCTGACTAGTGATAATCTTGCTACGACCCACCAGAACCTTTGACTCTAGCGCATAGGGCTGTTTTGATCTAATCTCTTCCCCGAGTGGATCTCAATGGATCCAGGGACCCAGGCCTCGTTATACGTAACGCAATCTAGCCTAGTTACTCCATATTGTATCTTGCGCGTTTTCCGCCATCCTGTGGACTACTCCCAGACAGCGAGGGGACGTTTGGGGGCCAGGAATTGCAGGCCTCAGGTATGCTACCTAAACCTTCACCGAGCGCAAGTGTAACCTAGAGATTGTAATATCTTGAGTTGCATTAAATCTAGTAAAGGTTCATTGGGAATCATGGGCTGGCTGCTCCAACGACTCCGAATTCCTGAGCCGTTAGGAGGCCTGGCGGCTCGATGCAACCGCAAAGATACCGCTGTACGCCTATCTGAATGCATTGTCGTGTGTACGGTAGTAGTTGTGGCCCCAGAAAACAACCCTTCATGGTCATGATTGGCGTTCTGACCGTGCGAAAACATACTCCTAGTAAATATGTAGGTAAGTTGGTATTCTGACTGCCCATCTTACCCATCTTGAAACCATAGCAGCCCTGCAGGTGGGTTGCGCGGAAGGATTGGAAGATGGTCGTACAGAGGAAATGGGCAGACAGGCTAGTAGGTATCTACCTAGGGAACCGTACCCGCGGCCCGGCCCTAGCTTGGCTGCTCGCCGACCTAGTTGCCTAGGTAGATACCTACATACCTACTAGGTATGTACCTAACCTAGGTAGTAATGCCGCGATACACAGTACTATGTAGTATTGGTGCAAATGACTCCGCCCGAGCTGAACCACCATCCCGCATTAAATCCTTGGGACTTTGGGGCAAAAGAAAAGAAGCCAACAAATCACATGCACGGAAGACGTGGAGACAAAGTCGGCGCAGCCAATGTACTTTTCAGCCCATACTCGGATCATCATCAATGTGCACGGGGGTGTGTTTCCATGAAAAGATTTCTCGCTAACCATAGCCGTTGAAAATCTTACCAACATGCGCTTTGCATTATCAGTGTAGTGGGCGGCAAAGTCCCTGTCCCTGTCCATCACGGTTTGCTTTTTATTTTTTTTTTCTGAAATGCGACTCTCCCTTACAGCCTGTGGACTGGCGGACAAGCCAACCGTCCATGTCATAGTTCGAATGACTGAGTACTATGACTGAGTACTGTATGTGGCACGTGGATCGTTGCCTGTTGGCCCCAGCCCGCGGTCAATATGCATGTGCAAGCAGTACATTGGGGAAGGGAGAAAAAAAAAAACTGAACGGCAGATGATGTGACAGATTATTGCTGTGGCCGTCGTGTAACGTACATGCCCCTACGGCTCATGAGACAAAAGAACCTCACCCAAATCAGAAAATCTACCTCTTCCCCGTTTGCCAAAATATCGACAGCATTGGGCGTTTTGCTTGACTCTTTATGTCACTTTTCTGACAACACTTTTTGTCTTGCCGCCAATTGTGTCATCCAAACCTTCCAATTTCTTTTCACGTCTTTGCCCTGCAGCTGCAACAATGGGGGCCTTTAGCATGTTGTCTGGTCTTGCTAAACAATTTTGGCCGCCGAGTCCGTCGTTCACCGAAGCCAATATTCCTAATGGCAGCCAGAAAGGAAAGGTTTTCATGGTGACAGGTGGCAACTCGGGACTTGGTTATGAATTGTGCAAGATCCTGATCACGAGCGGAGCCACGGTATACATGGCAACCCGATCCAAGGTTCGTACAAATCGTGCTAATGTCCAAGCATTGTGGTATTCTGACATCTTCACAGGAAAGAGCAGAAGAGGCTATCAAGTCGATTATCGACACAGTCTCAGACACCCCAGAAAGAGGCCAGCTCCATTTTATCCACCTGGACTTGGCCGATCTTGCCTCAGTCCGGACTGCCGCCAAAGAGTTTGCCCAGAAGGAAAATAAGCTGGATATCCTCTGGAACAATGGCGGAATCGGCGCCAATGCGGTCAAGTACGGAGAGCGGACCAAACAGGATCTAGAGATTCTTATGGGTATTCACTGTGTCGGGGCATTGCTGTTTTCCGAGCTGCTCGTGCCACAACTGAAGGCTGCAGCCGTTCAGGGCGCTCCGTCCCGCGTCGTGTGGCTTACAACCGTTCTTGTAGATACGTCTGCACCAAAGAATGGCATTGAATTTCCCGCAGTCGAGACGGGATATGAGGCGCGAATGGACAACTACGCTGCGTCCAAGGCGGGCGTCTGGATGCTGGCGCGCGAGTTTGCAAGGCGCCACAAGGAAGAAGGAATCATCAGCGTCGCCCTAAACCCTGGAAGTCTGGAGACAGGATCCTTCAGAGGAACACCCAGCATCATGATGTTCCTGATGAGGATAACCATTTTGCATAAGCCAATATATGGGGCTTACACTATGCTGTACGCGGGCCTATCTCCCGAAGTTACAATTGACAATAGCGGCATCTTCATATATCCTTGGGGAAGGCTGGTCTCGGATCGCGATGTCATTCGAAAGGATATACTGCATGCCGAAAAGAGCACAGATGATGGAGGTCTGGGGCTGGCTGCACAGCTATGGGAATGGTGTCAATCTAAATGGGATGTTGAGTCGGAACATTGAACTCTAGGTTTGGGGGTTGTTCACTGTTTTCTCTATGCAGTTACACTTGTATTGCAAGTAATGACGGATATACACCACTAGATGTAGCCTCCAGTCGCGCATGTTTTGGGGTAGTCGACATTTTGGAAAGCTACTTCATTGATTACCACCAAAACCAATGAAGAATATTTGAGGCTCCATTCTGTCTGGCTACCACTGCGATGCTCAAACTTTCCATAAAGATTAATTCTCGGTTAACTATTATCGTGCACATTCGGGTCGGAAAGCGGTGGGTGTTTCCCCTGCACGTTTCCTCACCTGATTGTACTGACCTTGGCAATTGTGAAACTCTTTGTGTAATTGTTTTACTGTATGTTTCTCTTGGTCATGGCAAGTTCTGGAGCATTCCTAGCTTATCGTGATGAGAGAAATGGAGTCCACGCACCACGGATTCTTGGTCGGCACCTACCCAATTCCGATATATGATTTCTGATAAATGCAATAGTCACCACATACGACCATACGCTTTAGAAAGCTCGGCATCCCGTCCGCTCTGCCCTGGATAAACTAGAGACGGCTGGATTAATACTCAGATCGGTGAGGGCTGGGGAATCCCCGGTGTTGTATGTTTTCTCTTCTTTTTTGTTGTGTAATAGTTACGTAGATGATGCGCCACAGTGTGGCTGGATGTGTGGCACCCTTCGGGTGACACAACGGAAAGGGTTGATTAAGTCTGTTTGTTCACACATTATTTTCGTAGATGTAGACCATCTTTAATTTTACTCTTTATTTCAGATACTGGTCGTATCAGTAGAATTATGTTTGGTTCCGACTAAAACATTACGGCTTGACCTATAATACCTAGTATTCTAAGACGAGGAAGATAACTCATCGACCCAGGCGAAACGATTGAATATTTCATGCCACTCAAAAAATAATGCTGCGTTGAATTCAATAGTCGAAGGTCATATAGCTGCATACGAAAGACTTTTTTTGCTATTGTATACTTGCCTCGTCGTTCTGTTTGCTATGCGCTGAAATAAACTGAATAGACACTTGGACGGCACTTTCATTGTTGGCAATGACAACATCCATACGGTCCATATTCGAGGCTATGATAATATCGTACTGACGTAGTCAGTATCCACCGCAGATCACCTGCGTGGGTAGGTATATAGTCGCTCTTTCAGCACCTCTCTTTTGTAGACTAGAGATCAACTCAGACAACTTTCAATGCTTCCTCGATCTTCTCGTCTTCAGTTCCCCTTTCACATATCGGCTCAGGTGAGAGATAAATGCCCACGAAGAACATTGAGCAATGTGCAACTGGGCAGATGCGATATGTATTGGTCAGAGTAATAATGCCGAGCGTGGTCATTAGGTTAGAATTACGGGATGATATCTATTTCTCTGCTGGTTGCACGGCCATGGAACTTGGTCATTTGACTCAAGCAATTAATTGCCTGTTTGATACCGCTACTCAACACTCAGTGGCAGGTGAGACTGAAACGCTGAAGTGGACTGCAGAAGAAGCTCTACAATCCAGCACGTCATTCCTGCGACAAGCCCTGGTCTCACATAAGCTAATATGCGAAGGAAAGATGAAGACGAGATGATCGAGGAAGGATAGAAAGATGTCTGAGTTCTTGCCTCGTCAAGTAAGAAAAGCTGCTGAAAAGCGAACTATGTAGCCGAGCAGGTGATCTGCGGTGGGTATTGACTACGCCAGTGCGATGATATATTATGGAGCACACCTGCCATTGTACGACGATTGGCAAAGACAATGCTCTCAATCGTTGGGGGATAATCACGAACCAAAACCTATATTCCCACGATGGGGGACAGTATGTGCCATGACGTAGTCGGTGGGAGAACGCAAATTGTGATGGCCAGCCGCCCACGCCAGTGCTGCATTGCATCACCTAAACGTTATAACTGGCAATGGCCAGTGAGGAACTTTCGTATATAACGCGGATTTTCTTTAACCGTTACACAGCTTTTAATCTTTCCCCTTTTTAGCTTTAATATCTCAATTAATATACGCAGTCACTCTTAAACTGTAGTTTATATGCTCATATCATCGTTTGCTCCATGTGACAAAATGAGTCACGAAAACCAGCCTTGGTAATTTTATTATAGTTAAAGAATTTGATGTTTTTTACCCGGAGCCATAGTCTTGGACATTATGAACCACTTAAACCTCTAATAACTCTCTGTCATCGACGGTCTCTCGACATTCCCGGCCGCTCACCTTGCGTATCCAGTCGACCCTCCTAATTGTATTAATTACTAAGATGCCAATCAGAAGGCATGAAGGTCCTGCAAAGATGAGTGACAAAAAAAACAATAAAGAGGAAAAAGATAATTCCCCGAAATAACTCCCATACTTCTCTGACGACCTTTCCATTGCATTCCTAAGAAACATGATTAACGCTATTTCAAACCCTACAATAGGAAAAGCAAAAACCAGGTAAACGATGTTCTCATACAACCACGAAGAAACGAAAGTCATCACGATGCTAGACCTTCCGGCATTATTTGGCGCCACGCGGTATTTCCAGGTGCTGATGAGCCATTGTAGCCGAAGATAAACAAACAAAATCACACGAATCGAATAAAGAAATGCGTAAGACCCCATAGCCATGATTAAAAAGTTCACCCACCCTGGTAGGGTTCCACGTCGGTATGACTCTTTGGCTTTGTATGACTCTTCGGCTTTGGTCCAGTAAGTAAACCCGATGATCGAGCCGCACAAGAGCACGAGATCGAAGAGAAGAGTATAGAGCGATAGCGTGTGAGGGATCCTAGATAAGATCTCCCTCGCCCGGTTGGTATCCCAGAAGCTAAGAGCCCAGAGATGTCGTGCCTTGAGACGGCTTGTCGCAGCAATACTGTTGGCTCTTAAGATTTCAGCCCAGGTGTAAAGGGGGATTGCGATGAGAATAAGCGGAAGCATAGGGACGCACAAAGTAAGGCTATCGCCCCACGATGGCTCTGAAAGTATGATCGTCCATCCCGTGCCGCACGTTAAGAGCAGGAAGTAGAGACTGGCTAGGCTGTATGTAAAAAAATAATCAAAAGCCTGCGCTTGAAGATATTGGAACGGGTAGGCTTTAAATCTAGTCGCCACGAGCATAGGCCAGTCTCCGGTAGCTACGAATGGATCACGTCAGCCGACTAAACCACCTAAAGGAGAAGCGGTAGATTCTGCGGGAAAGAGCCATAGCGGTGTGAAAAGGAGGAGGGAGATTAGGAATGGAAATTAACATGCCCATTTCGATGTATATCGAACAAGAATCTTCCAGGACTCGACAATCGGAGCTTGTGTGCTGCAATTTACCATGTGGATCGCGCTCCGCCTTCCAGGTGATGGTGGTGTCGACGAGCCGCGTCTTAACCATATCCTTGGTGTGCTCGTGGATGTCACACAGGATGCCGAAATTCCAGCTAGGCGTCTGCAGGCAAGGCTTAGAGAGCAATAACAGAAGTTGGGGTCCTGATGAAGCTGCCGGGAGCTTGCCTCGAAAGGCTGCGGCCGGGGATTCGGCCCGTAGCGTAATAGCCTCACCAGATAGCGCGTCTCGCAACAGAATGTAGTCGGAAACTCCTACACCAGATGGACATATCAAGATGCGCGTGGGCCCGGAAGGATTTAGTGCGGGCCGGACAAGGAAGCCGTTGGCTGTGCGCTCAAGTACGCCATGTGTGAGGTCTATCTCGGGTACACGTTCCCGTGAACCCGGAAATCTGGGCACCCACCCAGCCTTAGTGTCTACCGCGCGATCGCGATCCACGGTCAGGATATCAAGGGGCAGGGATTCGACACAACGCAGGATGGCTCGTGAGCGAAGTTGCGGCGCGATGGATAGAAGCTCCCCAGCGCTTCTGTAGAGAAGTGCTGCGAATATGGCGGGAACATCTTCCGGATACGAGGTTGTCCTCCGGGTCAGCTGGTTCCAGACCGAGATGAACTCAGTATTGGGCGTGTGCGGTAAAGGCTCTCCGGTGCCTAACACATCTGAGTATAACGACCACAACGAGTCTCCGCCCCACATGAGGCGACGGGACTCTTGGTTTGGTAATGTCTGTAGCGTACTGGAGATACCTAAGCGTGAACTCTCGTAGAGGAACTTGCGGTCGGCAAATTTGACGTAAATGGTCGAGGCCAGTGCAGCTTCTTGTAGTGGCCAGCTGCGGGCCATCCACGGTGAGGCGTCGACCAGCATGTTGGCTCTGAAATGTCTTAGGTCTTCACCGTCTCTGTCAACTTCCTCGCTGTAAATAGCGTCCGTCATCTCCCCGGGCGTTCTATGGAGTGTAGAAAAGTTGGTTCTGCTCAAGGTGGGATCCAAGACAACGATGTTGGCTGCGCCAGCGTAGATCCTCCCCATGGAGTTTATAGCTCGTATTTTCTCGTCGCGCTGGTGGACGGGGATGCAGAGAGTGTCAATCCAATAGTAGCAGGTTGTCTGTGTGCGCTGAGAACCAAACCATGCTCGTCCGTCTGGATTCTGCGGTCTTGGCACAAGTTTACGTATCATCCCGCGAGGGATATCAACTGAGGCATCATTGTAGCTCACACAGTCGTCGTCATATGCACAGATCATCACATCCAACACATCCCGATGTAATGCTTGCAGCTGGCAGTGTGGGAGACTGTTGGCCTGAAAGTTACCCAATCCTCCTGCCCAGACGTGCGAGATGGCAACATAATCAACCGTGGGGTCCATCTTGACGATCGAGACGCGTAAATTGCTGCTCGAATCCATGGTACTTCGGATCACCGGCACTTCGTCGCGCTGGATGAGACGCACGAGTTCTGCCTCCATTATCTCGAGGTTTTCGCATGCGACGCAGCGCTGGGTATGTTGCGTGCGATACGTCAATGAGTCCACGTTCATTAAACTGCAGCTGGTTTCCTTGCACAGGGAATGATTGTGCCGATGCAGATCGGATCCATCAGGCAAGGACATCAGGTGATAGAGCTTGGACGCAGTAAAGGGAAGCCGATAGGCCAAGCTGCCGCATTTCCCTACCTGCAGCAGGCTTCGAGCAATCCCTGGCGTGAACTTTGCGAGCAGGGATTTTGATCCCAGCTTCTCGAGGTCATCATTCTCGAAGCTCAAGATGGCTTCAAGAGCGTCCAAGAGCACCTCTATGCTGAAAATTATAGCATACGAGGGTGAGTTCCAGAGAGTAGGCATATCTTGAGCATCGAATTCCCAAATGTAAGGTATCCAGATATGAGACATGACGTGCTTTGCCCTAACTATGGCGTCCGCAAGTCGAGATCTCCTGACTTCTTGAACGGCGGACTCCTCGGGGTTCTTAAGACCTTGGAGGAGATCTGGCAGGTGGGACGTATCAATCCATCTCTCTTCGGCTATCGTTGATGTGGCGTCATCAACGGCTGAAATGCAGGCCTCCGGCGAAATTCCGACGATGCCAAGCAGACCGAAAAACAGCCAGGCTTGTCCCATTCTTGCGAGCTGTAAAAGTGATTCGGGATGCTTCCACTGCCACTCTTGCTTCTCAGGAAACTCGAGGAAATCGTCGCCCCCGCAGAGAGCTTCGCCGCCGCATATGAACGGCACTCGCACAGGACTAACCCCACATGGAGCGTACCAAGGAAGATGATCCATTGCAAAAGGTAGTGACCAAGAGTATGGCACGCAAAGCCTTGCACAGTCGTTGGAGTAATTGTCTAAAGAATAGCCAGCTTGCGGGGTTGAGTTGGTTCCAACCGCCTTTTACGTCAAAGGTCACGCAGCCTTGTGCTTGAATAGCGGAGTTGAGCCCAAATCCAACGAACACAGACGTGTACCCGATCGCCCTACTCAGCCGAAATGTATTGCCAGACTCTGACCGGTTGTCTTCATTTTTCCTCGCCGCTTTAATCCGTTTCTGTAAGTGCAGCTGGGCGTCTTTGAAAGGGTTTTTCTACTAATGTCTGTACCTCCTGTATCCGACCTAGAAAGGTCAAGTGGGCGGCCACAGAGCCTTATGCGCAATTCACCTGGTGGTGGTGTGTACCTCACTTTGGGGTAACGCAGGGTCAGCGCACAAGGCTTAGGCTTTCTGAAAACGCAGCAGGCGACCTGCAGGACGTAGACATCTTGAAAGCCGGGCCGCGATGCCGGGCGAAGCATGAATGCCGAATTGGAGAAACATAGTAGTCCAAAACAGTTTATTCTCTACGATCGTCTCCATCTAGTCACCACTCCATCGGAAATAAAACCATGGACATTCTACCAGCCATTCCCAGCCTTGTTTTTCCTGGATCCCTAAAAGGCTTTGCATCTGAACGGGCTTTGGCCACCCCAGTTCTGATCTCCTGAGAACGCCAAGAGCTTTCGTGAGACTTTCCCATAAAGGACATGAACTCTGAGCGACCTATCTTTCACGGCCGAGAGTGCCTGCAACTGGTTTGGTGGCTTGTTCAGATCTGTCTACGTTCTCGCTCCGGTCATATGCGTTATAACGCAGCCTGAGTCTGGAGCTGCCATCGAGCACTAAATGTGGAGCCAGCGACTGGTCTCAGATCCGGGATATTTAGGCGATGATGAAGAAAGCCTGCTATGCGAGCCACTGATACATAATGATGCTAATTATTATGCTCGTCGTCAAAGCTGAGCTGGGCCAAGTCTATACCTAGTAACTTATTATTTGCTCGATTGTGGAATATTTGGTCTTGTTATAATCGGGCCAATTATACACAATTATATACCTTAGTGATCAATCTAAACGTCAATTCTGCCCATAGATAAAGCGTTCAATGCGCTTTGGCAACTACACTTGTGAACCAGTCCAAGACCACTTTAGTTACCTAATCTAGGTACTCTTTACTCAGCACAGTTATGTATAGTGCGCTATTTATCCCCGACTGTGGCAGTGCTGGCGCCACAGTGGGAACGTTGCAAAGGCGGGCAACATTAGATAATACATCACCATGTTACCTGGTCACAGTTAAGTGGAGAACAGTCCAACATCATTAGTGTACCACACTCGTTCAATGGCAACAATTCTTCAACCACCACGCCACCTAATCGACATTCCAATCAAACCAACTCGATAAAACTAATGGAATCGCTTCTTACTAATCAATAAACAGTTGAATGATATCAGGTTCAATTCATAATAAGACTCGCATGCGGGTCTTCCAATGCCTGCAAACCGCAAACAAATGTCCCAACCTGCTAGCTCGGGCACCACGGTGCCTCAGATAGCCTGCACCCGATGCCGGCGCCGCAAGAAGAAGTGCGATCATGCTCTGCCGACCTGCGGCCAATGTCTGCGATCTGGAGTTGAATGTGTGCGATTCCTAGAGCGCAAGCCAAGAGACTCTGCTGTCGTTCCCTGGGATTTTGTCAAGCACCTCGAGGCACGCATCGCACGACTGGAGAAGCGTGTCTCCAACTGCACGTGCCACAGATCAGAGCAGCACTCCCCTTCACAAGCTACTGCCTCATCAAACCACACGTCACCACCTCGAACTTGGGTCGAGGTGCCAGACTTTGTGCATCATGCTGATCATTCAGATGCAGATGCAGATTCACGCTCTAGAGTCAGCCTGAACATCGTCCAGTCGCGCTCTGATGTGTCCCCTTTGGACTCACACATGCATATGACGACTCCACCAGCGAATGATGAGGGAAATAACCAAAACAGTGGCCAGCATCTTCCCGTTCGAGAGAGAGATTTGCATAATTACCTCGAATACGTCCACCCGAATTGGTCCCTCCTAGAGGAAGACGACTTGTCCGAATGGTTTGCGGCCCATGTCAAACAGCGCATCACTGAGAAGGACCACTACAAGTCATTCTTCGTGCTCCTAGCCTGCGCCATCGGAGCCTTGTATTCGACGCCTTCAGAAGGGGCATCTCCACAGCACGAACGATCCCAGGCGCTGCGCAAAGAGGCGGTTTCTCGTCACCTGCAACATGCCACAAGCAGGTCTCCCACCATGCGTACGCAGGCATATCTGCTGATAGTCATTCATGCGCTTCATTGTCCCACTCCATTTGAACTGCATGACATCACAAATGAAGCAATCTTGGAAGTGACCTCGGCACTGTGTAACCATACTTCAGGGTTAGCGATGTCCCCCGAGATGGATGAGTCGAGTGGTACCCATAGATTCGTGCTGTTGCCCTGTTTCTCAGCCTACCAAATCATTGCTTCGTTGTGGAGCAGGCCATTTCCGAGCCTTGTGGCCAGTATGGATAGAAAGGTGTCTACACATTTTCCTGTCCAAGAACTATACGCAGCTAACCCTTCGTCAGATCGAAGAGCAAGGTTTCTGGCTCACTTATGGTATCGAGCAACTAGACGCCGCAACTGAGCATGTGTTTTCGGTGAGAGTCATTCAGTCCAAGATTCAACGACTATGGAGCCCATCGCAAGGACAGGGCAGTCAGGAGTGTCATCGCATCGCGGGTGTCAGAGGTATAGCGACTGAGCTGATGCAGTGGAGAGCCATGATCCCTCTCGTTTCAAATCATGCTCACAAGTCAACTAATTCACATCCCTTGGCCATGCTGAAATTATACGATCTCTGCATTTTTAATCTTTACCAAAATGAGAGCCATGTTCCAGATCGTGAAGAGACATTGGCTCTACTTTTTGCTGCTAGCGAAAGTATTCGGTGTTTCCGCCGCATTCAACTTCATCGTCCTCAGGTCTATTATACTTGGAGCGGGGTAAGTAATACACTCTTCGGTTCGCGAAAAATGTGTGTTTTGTGTCTAATGGCAGGTATTAGCTGTTTGAACAGTTCAGAGCTGGTATTACACTATTGTCATGTTTCTGGGAAACTGATCACCCCCGGCGGGCAGTGGTATTCGCAGCTCCAGAGACGCACCAAGCTCTTGAGGACTGTGAGCTTACGCTGGAATGCTTCACTCGTCGATGGGAATCCGCCTGGGTATTTCTCAAGGTCTACAAACTGATATTGTCCACAACACCTTTATGGCCACGGGATGAGTCGGACTTTACAGTCCCAAAGGCCACAGCCGAAAGGTTGTCGCCGTTGGTCAGACAATTGCAGCAATCGAGAGTTTCAGAAGCTGTGATATCAATGATTAATCGGGTCATCGCTCGAGCATAGCAACAGTAAGCTTTTTTCATGGTCACATGGGCGATTATTTGCGCAACGTCGGAACTTATGGCAAAGTTAGGCAACCAAAGTAGCACATATTCTTGCAACACGCAGGCTAGAGCCCGTCGCCACGCGCAATCATAGCGTGAAACAGCTACTCGCACGAACGATTCACCAATGGGATCTGTGGCTTATCTGCTCGACTCTATGCAATACTTTCAGCTCATAAACATCTCGACGTTCTGCCAGCGTCTTCCAAGCTATATTTGTGTAGGCCATGAACTTGTATATCTTTCGGAGGTGAATATGGATTGTGTTTGTCAGTCTCACACATCCGACGGCTGGCAATTGACGAAAACCACGTGGTAGTCAGTAATCTTCAAATCCCCTTCAATTCTGGCTGTATAAACTCTAGCCGCCCAGACACCAACAGTACTTGTTCCGTCCTGCCAATTATAGACCGTGGTGCCGTCAATCATGTAGTCCGTTGAGCCTTGACCAGACGCAAAGACACTGGTAGGTCGATGGTCTCTGAATTCGACATTATTCCAAGAGTTGGAAATCATTGTTTCGATCTCTGATTTTACGCCCGGTTGGGTTAGCCCTCTTCCCTCACTCCCAAAAAAAGAAAAAAAAAAAAAAAAAAA